GGGGGGGGGGGGGGGGGGGGGGGGGCGGCCTCAAACACCGGTAAATCATCACACATCTATTTTTAAATCATCCGAACGCTTCGCTTTGCGGTAGCGGAGAGCGGGAAGCGGGCGTAAGGCGTGTAGTTTCACCCGGGGGGGGAGAACTTTCGCCGAACTGAAGTGTTTTATGTCTTTCCCCTTGGCTCCCCAGCTCCTCAGCCGCGGTTCTCCCGGAGGCGGTATGCAGCGGGCAGGGGCTGTGCGCCTCCTGCCCAGAGGGAAAGTCTACAAACAGATCTTTGAGGATGAGGTAAAAAAAGATAAGAGTTAAAAAAAAAAGAGGTAAAAGCCAAATGAGTTAATTCTGTTGCTCAGTTGTTTGCTGGCTGGTAAAGTGGTGAGCTCAAACCAGAGGTCAGTTTCAAACTTTCTGGTTTTCGTTTCTTTTAGTAGAAAATAATTGTGTTACCTTCAGCATATGCTTTCTAATACATCTGTGGGTGTTCCCGTGTTTCCATCGTGTGTTGGGATATATTAACTGAAGGCAGAATGATCATAATTATAACCCAGCAGTTGAAGATAAATTAAGAGGCGTAATAAGCCACCTCCAGGCATTTCTGCCTCTGCTGTTGACTTTCCTTGTAACTATAAGTAAGACACAGAGTCCAGTTTCCTTCAGTTTTCCTCTCTGAGGAAAGGGATATCTTTTTTATTCTCATTTGAAAACAGCCTTGGATGAAAACTGTTATGCATGTGCCAAGTAGCATTCATTATTTTACCTTTTTCTTCTGCTGCCTTTCCCCCACTGATTTTATCAATTATTTTTGTTGTTATTCTCTGTTCAGTAGATTGGAAAGAATTCTAACTGATTTGGTTGTGGTTCTTTGAAGGTTCGCTTAGTGCGCTCTTTGGATGAAGTAAGGAACAAAACTAGGTTTTCTACAGAGAGTGAAAGGCTCGCTTTGGTTAGGGAGTCAGAAGCTTCTACTGATGCCAGGCTACTACCGTGTTACCAGCAGACGTGGGTTGAAAGAACACCTCATGACAACTCTGCAGAAAAACCACCGCTGTACAGGTAGAGAACAGAAGCATAAAAACCCAATTATACGTTCATGGCTATGGGTATGAATTTGTAAGATTTTGCACTGGGAGCAAGACTCTCCTGAATTCTTGGTCACAGCACTAACGACCTGTAATAGGCTGTCTCCTTGTCAGGTATCAATTGAGTATAACGAGCTGCAGCCTGTTAAAGTGCAGATTAACAAGCTAGTATTTGCAATGGCATGCATATTGTATGGCTTTTCTTTTAAAAAGAAATTGTACGTCTTTTTTGTTCAAAGCAATCTAGATATAAGCCCAGTCTGATACATGTTTTTGAACTATACTTTAAACTATGTTAATGGTTTACACAGTGATGCAGTAATGATTATGTAATGACCAAGAAAAGAAATTAGTGCATCCATCCTTTTCACCCTGACCCTTCTGCTGAATAATGACACCCTTATTCTCACTTTCCCCAAGGAGAAACACAGTGTCCCAGCTGATGGGAAGAGCAGTGAGCAGAAAAAAAAGCTTTCTCCACATTTCTTGCTAGTTCTGACTTCACAGTTCATAGAGTTTTATACCTTTTTGAGACAGTATGTATGTCTTTGTAGTTTACATGTATTAAATCTAGCATTTATTTCTTTTATACCATCATAGTAGATTTGAGACTGATCAACCCACACTAGATAATTACTCAGTTGAATTTGTCTCAGAAATAGCAACATTGATTCTTTGAATCATATTCTTTGAAGTTAGAATGATGCTTATGTTCACTTAAATGTTACATTTTGCTAATTTAATTGAATATCATACCCATTGCAAGTCCCTCCTCTTACACATTCAGTACAAATCAAAGCTTTATTCTCCTTCTGTTTCAGAGAAGCCACAACATCTCAAAAGGCAGCTGAGGAAGTCAGAGGCCTACCCGATTTTGTTGGTAAAATTTATTTCCCTTAATGTCAGATATTTTAATTTTCATTCTTAGGAGCCACTGTACACATAATGGTTTTAGCTGAACAAGGTATAAAATCAAGCTTAGAAATGACCTGACACATTTTGAAGATGAAGAGTTTAGTCACAGAAAAAATGGTTGTAAAATTGTCGATCAATCAGAGTTTGTGTTTAGATGGTAAATTCCAGTTCTGGTGTAAGCAGATCTCATTTTTGGCTGTAGTAATTTTTTGCATTATACCTGAACTTAGTTCATAGCTTCCATGCTTTTATCCTTCTGAAAATCACAACTTAAGAAGTCCAAGGAAATTATTTTAAAATATGCTTTACTATTTTTAACCTTCATTTGCATAGATTTCCCTTCCCATGGGAAGCTGTCACGCACTGTCATAGCGGCACAAGCTGCAGAGGTCAGATGTGGATTTAGCGATTCGTTGTGTGTGCGTTATGTATTCTGCAGCAACAGTTCCAAGCTGCATCATCCTCATTTCTTCCTTGGCAGTTCCTGAGGAACCGAAGAGTAATATCTTGGAACGCCTGTCGGAACGCCGGCGAGGCCGTCACGCTGAGGCACTGACCTCAATGTATCATGAGCTCGCCTGCATTGCCAGGGTAAGGCTGGGTTTTGCAATCCAGACAGCCTGGAGTGCTATACTGAGCTCAGAGCCCAATATTCGAAAGATCAGACTGATTTCCTTATCTTTTTAGGAGCTGGAACCCTTTGTTTTGGAGCATGGAAAATTCCTTCTGACAAAACTGATGGAATCTGATAGAAAAATCGAACTTCTGTTTAAAAAGATTGAGTTTGACACTACTCTGGAAGGTTTCTCAATGGAAGTAAGGCAGCTCATGCCAGTGTCTCATCTTCAGTTATTTGTGCCTTATAAGCATAGCATAGCTTCTGATACCTTGCTGTAGTTTTAAGATATAAATGCTTATTTGGACTTTGGGGGTGTTATGCTTGTTTGTGTGGGATTTTTTTTGACGTTTGCTTTTCAGTGAGATTAAGAGTAAATTCTCTAGCATAGCTTCTGATACCTTGCTGTAGTTTTAAGATATAAATGCTTATTTGGACTTTGGGGGTGTTATGCTTGTTTGTGTGGGATTTTTTTTTTTTTTGCTTTTCAGTGAGATTGAGAGTAAATCCTTCTTGCAGGGCTTGGAAGATCTGTGGAATATCATCCATCAGGAATCCTTGACCAGAAGGAAGTGGATTAGGGAAGTGGATGAATCCTTAAAAATGGTTGAATGGAGTCGAGCTGATAAAGTGAGCCGTAGTTTTAATAGCTGTTAATTAGGCATAAGAGTATTATTTGCTCGTAATGCTGGATGCAGAGCAAAGAGTGGCTTGTTCCCACAGGAGTCAAAGAGCTCTGCCAGGAGTTCTGTTGTGTAGGTGATGACTGTCTTTTCCAGTTACAAGGGTTTTTTTTCTTCCACAATTACCTGTAGTAAAGATGCAAGGAATATGTGAGCTGCTTTTATTCTTCTGCAGGTTATTTGGGTCAAACTGTTGGGTAGGCTGGGTATCAGTAGCAGAGATGCCACAGTTGTGTAGGCAGCATCTTGACCTGTAAAAGTCACTGGACACCACAGTAAATGTTTGGGTGAATAATGGGATAGTCCATAAAGAAGTCCTTGCTGCTATGTCTTTATAGGCAAACAAAAGCTGTCTGTTATACCTGTGTCAGTTTCTCTCTTTTTAACGTCCAACACTATCACCTGTAACTTTTCTGTTTGATTAGTTACAAAGCTGTCTGTTATACCTGTGTCAGTTTGTTCTCTCTTTTTAACGTCCAACACTATCACCTGTAACTTTTCTTGTTTGGTTAGTTATGAAAAATACCAGAGATGAACACATTTGCTTAAATTTTGTGTCCGCTTAAAACTACCACTGGTGGACTCACTGCAGGTATCTGAAGGGAAGCTGGTTTGATTTTTAAATTCAGATTGCAGCCTGTCTGCAGAGCTTTCCGTTATCACAGACATTAACAAGAAATAAGTTGAGTAGTAACAGAATGGAATGTTTTAATTACTGTTTTTATGAATGAATAAAAAAATTAGTATTTAGGATATTTAAGATAGGTATTTTAAAATTCACTTATCAATCTGTCTGTCAGCCAATTGAATTTATTTTAATGGAAAAAAATTATCTTGTTCATATCATTGCTTAACTTAGGAAACTGGCATTTGAGTTATACAGATTTTATTTTCTTTTCTGTATTCTTTTATTGCACAGATAACAGACGTACTGAGGAAGTATACTGTGATACTGGAGGAAATTTCTTTCTTCTTGTCAGCTGATGTTTACAGGTTCATGAATGATGAGGCTATGGTAAATCTTTCATTTTGAGAGTCTGTTTTACCTGGGAGAAAATAGCAATGTGAATATTTCCAGAATGTTCTTTTTTTTTTCCAACTGCATTTCCTTATTTCTACATATCAATCAGTGCAATATAGAAGAGTTTTCTATTTTGCAATTTATCACTTGTATTCTTTTTCTCTCATTTTACATAGAACAGGCAATATTATTTTTTTTGCACTTTATATGCTGCTTCTATTCCTGTTTTGATTTTTCAATATGCAGATGATTAACAGAGCACTGTTGGCTAATCGGAGGGCAATTGCCAAGCTGTTCTTTAATTTAATGAAATCAGAGATGAAGAGGGAATTATCACAACGATTGAAATGGCAAGACAAAGTCAAGGACTGGCAGCTCATCCAAAAGAACTCTTTAGTTCACAGTTTCAGGTCAGAAATTTTACAATTATAATTTGGAGTATGAGTAACACAAAGTGACTAGTGTTCACTTGTGCTTTCTATAAGCAGTAATATTTTACAATTTTTCTATTATAAAACTAAAAAGCTAAAAGAACTTAGCATTCCTTTTTTACCTGATATGTATAAAATATAGTTTGTCTTCCAAACGTGAATTTTTCAAAAACATATATTTACTTTAATGTATTCTTCCATCCTACAGAGAATTTATGGCAAATGAAGAAATACAGAATCCCCCAACTGTGAAAACAGAAATGGAAAATATGATAACGGAGCAAATTTTACTTAGTGAAAGGAGACTGGAGTTATTGCAGCAACTTGGGTATGACAAAAGAGAGAACAGGAACACAGGAAAACAGAGTTCTTTCTAGAGTTAAGAGGGACTTGACTATAAAATGCACTTTGCTCCCTTTCAGTGTGTGATTGGACGATGCAGCAGTAAGGCAGGGCCTGAGCTTCCTTTGTAAAGGTTTTTTTTAATGGAAAAGATGCATTCTTGGTTTTCAATGCACCAGTTACACTAAATGGGGGGTGTTCGAGGGCTAGAAATGCAGGAACACAAGAGTAAACCTTATGAACGTTTGAAACATGGTAGGAAGGGGCAGACAGGGATGTGTAGGTAAGTAAAAATTGCTGATCTGGTCAAGGTGTTATTTCTGTGTGGGAGTTTAATTTGTATAATACATTAAGAAAAGTGTCTTGATAGAAATCTAACACCTGCTATGTTTGTCCATCCTGACAAGAAGAAGATGGTTTGGGTGCAATGCATTACACTATTTACAGTTTTTCTTTTACAATGTATGTATCAGCAAGATAGATTACAGTTAGTTCCTTGTCAGTAAACAGTAGCCTTGAAAAACAGCAGTCTTGTTTTATTTTCATTGCTGATGTGACTGTAAATAAAATAAAGCACAGTACTATGGTTACTCTGATTCAGAATTTTATCATTTAAGAAGTGACTGCTTTTTATTTGGAGATACCTGACTCTTGTTTCCTATTTTGACAGTAATCTGTTACCTCCAACACACACGAAAGCTGATGTAAATGAATGGTACAGATCTTTGGTGAATTTAAACAAAAGTATAGGTAAGTTGGGAAATCATGAAGACAATCTGGAATTTATAAAATTCTTTCATTCTTTTTTCCAGGCACTAATGAGTCAGAGGGTTGCTTTGAAAGTACATGTTTTCTATATTCTTTGTTCCGTGTGTTTCCATGAACCTTCTAAGTCACTTTGAGCTGGCAACAGACCAAAATAAGCTGTCCATTCCATCACCTCCCTTTTGCCAGCACAAGCACTTTTGCATAGTGAGATCTAGCAGGAACTGACTTGGTTAGAATTCATCTGGGGAAAACAGAAGGTTAATTTTAATGCAGGCCAGTTCTCAAAAATGCTCCTTTTTACATCTTGGACAATGAGAGGGGAAGTTTTTGAGATGCTTCCTGTCTCCGAGTCCTGTCGTGAGCCTTCCCTCTGTGTGTTTGTACCTCCTGTTTCTCCAGAGTACGTTTGCAGCCTATATAGTAGCACTGAAGTTGTTAGCAATTGTAAATAACTCATTACTTCTAAGCATAATGATAAAAGGATTTGTATTAAAACATCTTATTTTGTTGGTAGATAGTGTGGTACAAGTGTAAAGACACTACTGGGATATATTATATGTGCTGAGACTGGGCATGGGTCCTCTGTCATGTTTCCATTTCACACTGCACTATGAAGTACAAGAGTCTTTACAATGGCCTGTTCTTCCATTTCCTTCAGATACCCACAATGTGCAGTGTATGATGAAAATACACATCCAGTACGAGACGGTCCTGCAAAAATGTTTGGCAGAAATGGAGTTATGCAAGGTTAGTATCACAGCTTTGTGAAACCTTGGGAGGGTTGTTGGTCACTGTGTACAATGTGTTGTTACAGGAATACAGGGTTGAGGATTCACCAAACATTGACATAACAAGAGAAATTACTTTTTAATCTTTGTCTTATTCTGTTAGAAAACTTCACTGTCCGTTTTGCTTCACAGTAGTGTTTTTTGTACTTGAAATGTGTAAAAGCAGTAACAATGCCAGTAATGAAAGCAGCACTGTCCCACATCAAGGTAGAGGACTCGGGGTCAGAACCCCTCAGCTATTGTGGTGAATCAGTCTTATTTGGGGAAATTCCACCTTCCTGCCTCAGTTTCTCCCTTTGTGTCCAAATGGAATTGTGCTGCTTACTACCAGAATGTGGGATCTAGCACGTTGAATCTTTCTCCATCCATTCACAAGAAAAGAAGGAACACTAGATTTAGCTATGCTCTCTAAAAGCCACACAATATTTTATGTTCTATTATGTTCATATCAATAGCTTGGCTTTCTTCTCATTTAGAATAACCTGTTGAAGTTTTGCACCAAAAAGGAGGCTGAAGAAACAGTGAATTCTGAGATACTTGAGTTGACTGAGAAACTGAAAAGTCTGTTTGAAGAAGAACTGGAGCATATGGGTGTATGTTTATTTATTACATCTATTTTTGTTACTCACTGGGAGTAGTGTTTTCTTCCTGCGCTGCTGTCTGAAATGCCATATGCATCTTAGGCTATTGATGTCATGTTCGAAAGAGGTCCATAGTGTGACTGGACAAATGCCCCACAAATAAAAGAAGTTTGGTGTGACTCAAGAAGAACAGTTCATAATTGCTTGGTTTATATTTATAATAGGTTGTCAGGGATGAATTAGGTATAGCTCATCCTGCCTGGAGGCAGAGGAAAAGATTTAAATGATATCTCAAATTCCTTTCAATCCTCTCTTTTATGATTCCATACATTGAAAATGTCTGGGCAGTTGTTCCTAAAATGATAGATGGCCAGATATTCAGGGCATGTGCAGAACTTAGTAATTCCTTGCTTAGCAGTACCAGAAGAATAAATGCAAGTATTGATATTTCAGCTTCTAGAACAAAAATCCACATTCTTATCCAGTTTACTTGGACTATTTTTTGCTCTCGCTTAGCAGTACCAGAAGAATAAACGCAAGTATTGATATTTCAGCTTCTAGAACAAAAATCCACATTACTATCCAGTTTACTTGGACTATTTTTTCCTCTCTAAATATAAGAGACGATGTTGAACTTCCAGACAACCTTTTATCATGTCACATGTCCCCTTACTCCTTTATTTTGCCTTCCAGCAAACAGTTTAATAATAACCATTTCACTTAAATGTATTTCTTTAGAGAGACTTTGAGGAGCTGGCTAAACACAATGAGCAGAATTGTAGAGATTTGTGCAGCTATTTTCAGGAGGCCATGGATCTCTGGGATGCCCATCAACTCAAACTGTCCCAGCAGAAAGGTGAACTTCAGAAGAAATTAGATGAATGCAGACGGAAACAGGATAACTTAATGCAGGTATAAACATAAAAATGAGGATGTGATACAATCTAAAGAAAGGACTTCTTAATACAGAGAACCCGCTGGAATTCAAAATACCTGATATAAATTTTAAAATGTATACTTTGAAATTTATACTGGAATTTATACAGGGTAGATTCATCCTGTCAAGTGCATTTTTTGCTATCTGCTTGATGCCTAATGAGCATACATATCTTATTCTTGATATGGCAATGATGACAAAGATTATATTTTCTGTATTAAGTGGCTGCAAGTTTCTATTACTCATAAAACTTTGTGCAGGTATAGAATCTTGTTGGTATGCCAAGCTCTCATATTATGGGTATATCATGCAACTTGGGGTGGCAACGTCAAAGAAGTTGTCAATTATCTATGAAAGATCTTCATAACAGACAAGTTTTGGTAAGGTGTCTTCCTTTCTTGACGTGAAATAGACGTACATAGTTAAATCATTTGAATTCTAAGTAGTTATGAAGCATTTTATTCATTACTAAATAATTTTTACTGGGTTCTTTTTATATGGCCTTAGATGATGGAAGATGATCTGGATAAAATTTTGGACGAAATGAGAACAGCGAGCTCTGAAGAAAAACTGAATCAATATTTGAAGAATGCCCTTTGTTTTTTAGATGACATTAGAGCTAGGTATGAGTTTTGTAGTGCAAAGTTAACAAATAAAGCATATTTGAATGTTGGTTGTAGTACTTAGGTCTTGTTTATGCCGTAGTGTAAAGGTGTGGAAAAACATTGCTTGCTACTTGATATAAGAAAAAAAAATAATAATTTACATATTGAACAAGGTTTAGGAAAATAATACCCACACTTTAGAATTAGGACTAAGGAAGACCAAAGAATACTGGTATCATTTAAAACATATACCAGATCAGTATTATTATGTAGTATACCATGTCATTCATCCCAATGGGATAATTATTCAGAAGGTAAAAGTAGTAGTTCAGATTCTTGAATCACAGGGATCAGAAAGTAGATCTGTGCCACCACCTGTGCTCTGGGCTCACAGATTTGATCTCTTTTGTAATTGCAAAGACTAGAAGTTATTAGTAGCTTTGAAATAGACAAACTTTATATTTTGGTAATCTTTCTGTTGCATTTCCCATGATCAAGCATTTGCATCTTTAAAAATCACATCAAAATTGGCACATATCACTCTCCTTGCTGGAGATCTTAGCGGAAAGTTTGAGGATTAAATAGCCAGAGAGGAAGCAGTTGTATTTTCACACCTAAAAAGTCTTTTCTGTCTGTCAAATTGGAGGGATAGTAGAAGAGTGGTGTTGACCCAAGAGGGGATATGCACATCTCATACTGTAACTGTGTTTAGAGCTGTTGATTCAGTGCTCTTTATAGTCATTAGGACAATGTAAAAAGAAAACACAAAGGTAATGTACCTTTTCTGTGAGTGAAAATACAGCGAGAGGTTGCAGACGTGCAACGTAATATATCTGTACATTTGAACATGTACACAAATTCCCCATAATTATATTCATATAGGAGGCAAAGCAAATATAAATGAAAACAGTTTTGACCATTGGCTTTTCTTGAATCAAGACTCAGCTTGAACCATTAGTTTTCATTTCCATGTAAAATGAAAATAAATCAGAAAAGCTTCAATCAAAGCTGAGCATGATACAGATCTGACATGAAAGACAGTAATTGCACCTCTCGCTTCTAATATTCCATATGTAAGCACAGGTCTTGAATGGTCTGAAATACTTAATTGTGAATGTTTCTTAACTTCTGTGAATTTATCTATTTGTAGTGATCTAATCTTTACTAACAAGCCAGGATGTGATGGTATTCAGGCTAAACAAATGTAGCACAATGTTTAGCCTAAATGTTTTATGAGATTAGTCAAAAAGTTAGATTTGGATTTAAAGACATTGTCATCATATTTCATTTTATTTCTATATATACTTGAGTCTCTTAAACAGTGACCTTAAATTTGACAGGTATGAGACATTCAACCAAGTTCTAATGGATACAGTAATGACTTACCCAGAAGCTATTTTGCAGGAGTTGGTTTCCTATAGTATCTCCATCAGCCAATATTTTAATGTAAAGGAAATCTTCAAACAGGTATAAAGAAAACAAACTTCTTCAGGTTTAAGTCTATGGTGTATTGATTTTTCATTTTTGGGAAAATTTACTTTAGCTTTAGAATTTAGATTATATAAACTAAAGCACTGTTTTGGCCATAGGACTGAAGTGCTTTTGGTAGAAATAGAGGGGGGAAACACAAAACCTTTCTCTGTCCCACACTTTTAACTCTGTTCTTGTTACAAACTGTGTTTCAGCAAATCCGTGTGCCTTTTAAACAGAAAAATGCAAAGTAACAAAATTATATTAATCAATTTGAATGTTATAGCTCCTTTAGAAAGTAAGTGACCCATTCAAGACTATCCTATCTTACTGAAACAGATATATTTTGTGAATGAATATTTATTTCTTCTAAGCAAGCAAATCCTTATTTTCAAATTGTGTGGGTGTTTCTGTTGTTTTTATTCTAGAACTTGCAAGGGGAGATAGACTTTGCATTTCAAGATCAAGGTAATACCTCAGTGGTACAAACAGGTATTTTTGCTTGCTTGTTTTTCAATCTGTATTTATTTGGATTGTGACCAGTAAAACTCTGCTTTAACTGGAAAGAACTAGTTGAGGCTTCAGAAGCTGAACGTCTGGTGGAGCAGCAAGCTAAGTGCAGTATGCAAGAAAATGAAGGACAGCAAGAGGTGGATAGTCATCAACAAGAAAAGGGGGAATCAAACACGGCTGAGAATGAGAAGATCTTTGCTCAGGAAACGGAAGAAACAGAATATGGGGGGAGTATTCCTCATGAAAGTGAAGAAACTGAGCATGCAGGACAGGAGGTAAGCTTTACACAGGTGAGCAAGAGAATTAACTGGAAGGTGAAGGAAGTCTTGCACAAGATAACAATGCATAGGAAATCTTCTTTTTGCTGAGGTAAGTCTAAATTCTTTAAAGTACATTAGATTGAGTTTGTACACAAAGCACACAGGTGTCCATTGTTTTCATTTATTTATTTCCAGACTATTAGAGCTTTAGATCCTTTGTATGGGGAAATGGAGTGTATAAAGCAGTTTATAACCATTCCTTATGCACTGCTTTTACCCTTGTAAAAACTTTTTCCATATTTTTTTTTAAAATTCCTTCCTTTCCTACTTCCTTTACTCATAGTGTTCTTAACCCATGGTTAATGATTTAAGCTGTATTTGTATCTAAGTATTAGTTTTTCAGGTCTTAGGTACATGAATTTATTACCATACAAAAAGCTTCTTAAAACTTTGATGACTCTGCCTATTGAGACTTGCAAGCACGTTCTCTGTATGAATATTGTTCAAATTGAGAACCATAATGTTATTCTTAATATCCTGAGGGTTCTTACCTTACCTTGTGCACTGTTGATTCTATACTTATAACTTTAAAGGTAATAGATGATGATTTCTGGTTGTTTTCTAGGTTATGTTCAACACCAGAAAGGCAGAAAGCTCTGAAATTGCTGTTGAGTCCTTCTCCACTTCTAGTGGAAGCACTTACACAGTTCGGGGAGTTGAAGAGGCAGGAAAGACCGACATCCCAGAGACTTATTTTACAAAATATGAAAAAAAAGAATCACTTCCTATGTACTTGAAAGATGTACTTATCAAAGAAACCAAGTTTGTAGAGCTGAAGAAATGGTTAGTAGAGAACAGTTTATGTTCTTTCTTTCACTTTAGGCAATCATCAAATTTCAGCTGTTTGGAAGAAACATTAGACTAAAGATGCAAAAATTATCTAATTATTTTGATATTATTCCTTTTTTAAAAAATAATAAAAATAAGATAAAATTTTTATATTGCTTTTCATCCGCGGCTCTCAAAGTACCATACAAGAATTTACCTCTTACAGAACATTCATATTTTAAAGAAAATTATTTAGTGAGAAAACGTGTCACAGAAAGGCAAGTAATTTGCCCAAATCCCATGCAGAGCCACGAAGGTAAAATGCCTGGTGCTCAGTAGTACGCAGCCAGCTCAAAAACTCTACCAGTATTGTGCAAACGGTAAAGAAACCATACTTCCCTATAGTTAGAAGTTAAATTCTTAGAATTTAATATGTTTAATAAATTCTTATTTATTACTTACTGTTCCTCACTGTAAGTATTTTTTAATCATAGGATTCGCCTCTGTTTTTTTGAACACTTGGAGAAATGGTTTGCAGAGTCCTTATCCAAGTCCTCTCTTGTGGTAGCTGCCAAGAAAGAGGAGCTGAATTCAGAACTTCAGCTGCATCTTCACTTGCACCGACGAAGGCAGGAGGATATAGAGAGAAACATCTACAACATTAGAGCTAGTACTGACTGGTTTTTTTCTCTAAGCATTACATCTTCATTTAGAGATGATCATAAGTGGACCAAAATCTGTTTCAGCATTAGTTGACTCAGTAGTAGAGGACAACAGGAAGCAGTTGAGACTTTATGAATTCCTAGTATATATAATTCCTTCGTCATATATTTAAAAAAAAAAAAGTTTCTTTTCTATAGCTTGTACTGGCTAGTATATATAATTCCTTCGTCATATATTTTTAAAAAATGTTTCTTTTCTATAGCTTATACTCATTTCTGCTGTGTTATATTTGGAAAATATCCAGCAGTGCTTTGATCAATGACTTGACTTGTAAAAAATATAAAACTTTACTTTCAATCCAGCAGTGCTTTGATCAATGACTTGACTTTGTAAAAAATATAAAACGTTCACTTTCAGTTGCCAATATTTGTGAATGCTCATTCTCTTTGAAATTATTTAACATGAGTTTACAATGTACAAAAAATAATTTTTAAAGTGTTGCAGAAAAAGAATGAGCAAGTGTTGGAAGAGATAAAATGCCAGGGATTGGCTTCTGAACAGAGGAGAGGATTAAGCTGTTTGAAATATCACAGAGCACAGATTGACCTCTAGTCGGAATGCTGTTTTTTGTATGAGAAGTGTCAGGTTTGTCTGGTGGAAAAAATATTATTTAAGACTTATTATTTAAGGTTTATTGGTCTTTAACATATAAAGAAAAAAATTAGGAGAACAAGAAAATAATTTTTCAATTCCACATTTTCCTGCAAAGAGCACAGGTGCCTTTTTTGGCAGTTTTCTTGAGGTTGATTGGCTGGCTCTTGATTTATCCAACTATCATTCCAGAAAGGAGACCAAAACTGATAACTTTTTCTTTCCACTAAAGTAGGGAGAAGTGAATTTTCTGTTTAAAAAAAAAAAAAAAAAAAAAAAAGTCCTTTACTTTTGTTACAACACTGAGAAGAGAGAGATAACGGAGATGTCAGTATTGACCAAAAATAAAGGAAAAAGAAGGCTTAGAGCAAACATCAGACATTTATAATTTGAATGGTTTAGGAGCTGCCAGGGGTATGTGTCAGACACAGGAGAAAAGTCAAAGAAACAAAATCAGATTATTTTAATTTTTTTTTATGTTTTAGCCACTCTGAGGTCTGGCTTGGTTTATTTTACTGCTGCTTCTGATAATAGGTTGGCTGGTGGTTGCAACAGTCCACAGTAAAGAGGGAATAAAGACCATATGGTAAAATTTCTTTTCTTATCAGCGGAACTGCAGCTTCACAAGGAGCGTCTGGAGAACCACTGTGCTGGGGTGGTGGAAGCTCTGAAAAAGAAGAGAGCTGAATTTGTCAAATTTTGTGATGGGCAAAATAACATCAGCAAAAACTTACATTCACAAATCTGTGACATGGAATCTGTCCTCCTCAGTGCTCCTATGACTGAGAAGTAAGTGTGCCACAGGAGTTCCTGGCTGGGAATTTCCATGGTTCAATACTCCTGATTGCTATCTGTTTGTGGTTTATGTTCTGAGTCTATTTTATGTCATTACTCTTCAATTAAGACTGTTTCATGAACTTTAAAAAAAAATGTAAAGAATTTTTGTTTCCTTTTTCTCTCTCTGAAGAAATTAACATCAGCACTGAATGGATGAAAATTTTCATATATTTTCAAAGTGCTGGCAGTCTTAAAGTAGAAGAGAGGTTTCATCTGTTTAGATTTCATGCAGTTTACTGAACCTGCACAGTAATAGCCATTGACTAACTAGTTTTGAAAGTTGCTCATCAATAGCATCAGCTGATTGCTGATATCTTGTGAGAGTTCATCCAAACAGTCCCAGTTCAGTCAGTTGCTGTCAGAATGCTAAAATATTCTGAGTTCTCATATTTTGTTCATGTCTTTACAGCCAGCAGTCTCTGAATCATAACGTGTGCGCTTCTTCCTGTATGTTTTCCCTATCTTTTTATTATTTGTTGTTAGATTAGTTTCTTTCAAGAACAATCTGCGCTCTGAGCTAGATGATGATCTGGAAATGATCCATGTTTCCCTGAGAAGTTACCAGAAATATTTGGAGGAAGCTTTACGAAAATTAAGGAATTCAAATGTGGATTTTCTCAGGGCTTGCAGGTATAGAGATTTCATTGGAGTGTTGTTTATAAGTAGTTATCTATTTCTGGGTATCAGTGTTTGTTGCATAGGCAGAACACTAAAAGTTTATTTTGTTATTTATCTAGTTTGCTATTAAAAAAAAAAAATTGTTAAGCCACAATTACTACAGTTTTCATCACATTTGTGTTGATATCTATGTTTTAGGGCTGCTTAGCTAAAACAGTCTTTGAGAAAAGCAAGACTCCTAGCCAATTGCTTTTACTTTCTTGGTTGCTTTCAGATTATTTTTGCAGGGAGGTAACTTTTCTCCTGAGGAGGTAAAGTCTTTCAGCAGCTGTCTTCAGGGAGAAAGTAAGCGTATTGACTCTTTCGAACGTTTAATCAAGACAGATCTGGAGAAAGTGGAATCACGCTGCTTGCAGCAGGTGTGCAGAGTTTTATTCTTTCAAATTATGTATTATATTGGCATATTTGATGTCCTTTATAATCAACCTGCTCCCAGATAGGGACTGTTCTGTATGGCAACTACATGATAGAAAAAATAAGTAGAAATGAGTGAGTTCTATTATTTAAGCTTTTAAAAGCAAAAACTAATAAGTACTGTCTCTTGTTCTGGCATTCTTGAAGGCTACTGAACTTATCAACCAGTCTGAAAAAAAGTTCCATTCTCTCTTTATGAATCGAGTCTTTATGGAGAAGATCCGACGATTTTTGACAAATCTACACGTGCAAATCAAATCAGAGGTACAAACAGAAATATCAGAACTTTGTATAAATTTGTATAAATTTGTATAAATTTGTATAAATTTGTATAAATTCTACAAATTTCTCTTTTATTCTACTGAATTGTGCAAATCAAATCAGAGGTACAAACAGAAACATCAGAACTTTGTATAAATGAATTCTAAAAATTTCTCTTTTATTCTACTGAAGAGATTTTTGGCTGACTTTGAACTGGACAAACATTAAGTGACTTCATATTAATTCAAAATCTGTTTTATCTCATTATGAGCTTAAAACTGTGTTTTTGCTACTGCTACAGCTATACTGGAACACTATGGTCTTGCAGCACATTGAGTATGTACATCTGAATTGTTGTGTGGTGCAGTAAAGGACATGAAGTGTTGCTTTTGTGAATTATTATTTCACCACTATCTGCTTCTGCTGCAGGTAGCAAAATCCAATTTACAGGCAGTGACATTAAACTCTCATCTGGAGAAGCTCCATCAGAAGATAGATGCTTATGCTCATCCTACTGCAGTTACAGAAGTAAGTTTTAATCAGCACAAAATGGTATTTGATTTGACCTGGTATTTGACTCACTGTACATGTTTGTATAATGTATAAACTATTATTTTTCAGGCAGGCTCATGTTTATACATGTTTGGGGAGTGGGCAGAAAGAGTACTTTCCCACAGAATTTTTGCTTAGGAAGGTCCTGACCTGTTTTCCAGTTTGCCAAACAAAAACCTCAGCCTCTCTAAAATCTCATTGCTTCCATGTCTGTGTAAATAAAATGGGGACACAACAGAGTCAAGTGTCATTTTATGCAATAGTCAGCATATTTGAAAAGTCTGAGATAACTAGTTTAGTAAATACCATCTACATTATCATATCTTTCAGGCTTTGACATCTGAAGAGTGGTATGATTTTGCCAAAGAAGTGTTGAAAGAACTGAAAAAGAGGAGCCAGTATCTTGACTGCTTGCTAGTAAAAGCAATGAGGCCGCATGATAGTGTAAGACAGCATTTAAATTCTCTATATTTTATTTAATATTGAGTGAATTTTTATGTGCATATGTTTTGAAAGTTTTTCAGAATCTGTGCTTTGAATTTTTGAATGAAAAAATAGTCAGCATATTTGAAAAGTCTGAGATAACTAGTTTAGTAAATACCATCTACATTATCATATCTTTCAGGCTTTGACATCTGAAGAGTGGTATGATTTTGCCAAAGAAGTGTTGAAAGAACTGAAAAAGAGGAGCCAGTATCTTGACTGCTTGCTAGTAAAAGCAATGAGGCCGCATGATAGTGTAAGACAGCATTTAAATTCTCTATATTTTATTTAATATTGAGTGAATTTTTATGTGCATATGTTTTGAAAGTTTTTCAGAATCTGTGCTTTGAATTTTTGAATGAAAAAAGATGCTGCATTATGGCGAGCTGTCCAAGACATTGTAACATGAGGTCAATTTTTTTAAAAAGGCTGAGTAAATCAGCACTGAGTTTACTAAATATTAAATGAGTTGTGATGCTCAGTCCTTCACAAGAGTTGATTTTCAAGGTGTAGCACTACTCATAGATACATATTTCATGGGTTTCTTTAATTTGAAAAAAAAAAAATCCAATGTGTCCTGAAGAAATTTTGGGGGTTTTATCAGGTGTTTGGTTTTTTTCCTTCCTTCCTTCCTTGCCTGGAAAGTCTGTCTTTATTTTGTGGATCATTATTTTAAGGATAAATACTTAAATACTGCTTATGGTAATTATAAGAATCTACTCTTAACTACTTTTAAGTGTCCCACAGTTGTATGGCTGTAACAACATTACTACTAGAATTATAAAAAAAACCTTTCTTTCAGCCTGTGAAGCAAAATCATGTATGTTTGGAAGATTTGCTTTTGTAGTCAGTAACTACATGTAATGATTTCACTAATTTCCTCCTACAGTCAACAGGATTTCATTTTTCTTCCCATTCCAGGAGGACTTTACCCCTCTTGCAACGGATGTGACGTTACAAGGTCCAATTGCTGTTGCCATTCGAAAAGAATCTGTCAGAGACGTGAAGGAATTGATGGTGATGGGGCTGGATCCTACCAAATACCCTTTGTTAAATCCAAGCAGAATGGGAAAGTCTGCACTTGATGATTTATCAATAAGTGTTATCAAAAATTTACTTGAGTAGGTACTTGTTTGTCTAAAGGTATTTTTCTGTCATTTTCTCTATTTATGTTTTCCTTGCTATATATACCTCTTCTTTTTAGGAAGAGGTATTTTTTTTTGTTTGTTTCAGAATTCCACCATCCAGAAAATTTTCAGTCTTAAATCAGGAGAGAAAAGATCGTTCGCATTCATTAAGACCAGGTGTGCCAGCATTTCATTTAATACGTTTCATTAATCTAAACTGTAATTCCTAGGATTTCGCTGAGCAGGTAGGTCTAGCAGGCTCCAAACCAGTGGCTTTTGTGCTAACTCCAAGAGAGTTGTGGACCCCAACATTTCTCTTGGATATCTTTACATTGCAACCATTATTTTTGGCTCTTAATCAATGAAAGCTGCAGAATGAGATAATAATTTTGTAAAGATTACACATATTTGTGATAGGAAAAAAAAAAAGAGTGGAGAAAAAAATTAGAAGAGAAGTAATGAAAATATGTAGGGGATCAGGGATCCTTCTCAGTATATTATCATTCACTCAAAGGTGAGTGCAGAGGTGACTCCATCTGCTTCCTACCTCATGTTCCCAATTCCTCATCTCTCTTCTCCGGAGCTTCACTCCCCCAGCCACTTCCAAAGAGATCCCCTCTCTCTTCCTCATTTGTAAGTCCCCATCACAACCAAGACTATGAATGTAGCCCACTCATTCTCCTTCTTATTCCCTGCCTTGGTGTCATTTTAAATCTCCTCCCATCTACCATGGATTTTTTATGACATTCCCATTACTTGTGCCCCAGTGCACAACCTCTATTGCTTTTGCCACTGCTAAATTATTTCAGTTCTGGCTGCCAGAAATTGTTCCTACAGTTGTCCCCTCAATGTTGTAAGGAAACATGGGAATGAGAACACGAAGTATACGAGCATATAAAAAAAGACTTCAGGTGGCATTTATACAATGTTCTTCATCTTTCTTTGTTAAATATAAAGCAATTCTTCTCATATTAAGAAGAATTCTCACTTAAGTGTATCTGATTAAGGTCATCGGAAGTCTGCACCTCAGATCACCAGGAAGTCATCTTTTAAGAAAAGGATGTCAAGAGGAAGGTAAGATCTCTCAAAGGAGAAATTCCACTTACAATATTCCTATGCAGAAATTTGCCTAAACTTTGCCCACTGCTTGTTCCTTGAAAAATTCTTAATACTTATAGATAGATGAAATGAGCTACTGTAATAGTGAAAACAACAGAACAGATTTGAAGAGCCTTTGAGAAGAGAATCCTAAGACTTTTTTTACCATCAAAAAATATTTTCATATCATACTAGTTTTAGAGTTACATTTTTGTATGCTTCTATGGAAAGCTGAAAAAGTCCTTCACTTAATATAAACATTATTTAGCGACAACTAAACCAATGTGGGTTATCAACATTATACTCATACTAAATCCAAAACACAGCAGCCACAGAGAAGAAATTTAAGTCTAACCCCAGTGAAACCAGGACATTATCTCAAATAGCCAGAGAAGGGAAATAGTTGCAGATAGTTTCCAATTTATGTTTTGCCTCCCTAGGATACAGGTCACCAAACCAGATCTTGGTGATGAGAGATTGCAGATATTTGGAGAGAAGCCTCCAGAATCTGAGTAAGTCATGTGTATTTGCATAAATATAACTTAATCTGAAAAAAACCCAACAACCCACACCTGTGCATCTATTTATCTATTTATTTATAATTGTTCACCATTAAATTTTGAGGTATTTAACCTTGATATTTATGGGTAGAAGTGGTTACAGAAAAGTACCTTTTTGTAGCATAATTATAGCAAATAGGAAAGTCATCCATTTTATTTTGTTTAATGTCTGAAATGGAATGAGTGGCCTCATTAGAGTCCGTCTTGTACATTTACAAAAAATGGGTTGGAAAATATAAAATAGCCTGCCTTGCAGTTATTTTCACCTCTAAGAAAAGCAATAAATTTTATACTTACATTCTTGTGTGCAATATTATATTGAATATGAAAACAGTGACAGCAAAACTATTAAAATTAATGACTAAGATCTTTAAGTGCTTGGGAAGTTTGTTTCACATTGTATTTCAAAATAATTTCAGTAAACAGCTAGACCTACCTGCAAATATTTTATTTAAAATACATAGTAAAGTCTTAAGGTAAGTTTTCAGCACAGGAAGTTTGCTAAGAATGCTTTTTTTGTTCCAATGACGTGGAGGTGTTTTCCTGTAAGTGTTTACAGTATCTCAGAGTCCTTGTTGCTTCTCAAGACAATCTTTACTAATGGCAGTGGAGGTTCTTAGACATTCTGAATATTTGTTCGTATATGCTCTTAAAAATGTATTAATATAAGCCTGAACAAAATATTTCAAAACCAGTAAATTTTGCCAATGGAATCATTTTACAATGTAGTTGTCTTCCCCCCCCCATTTGTTTTCAGTACTTTTAAGGGGATTATTATGAACATTCTCTGGACGGGTAATAACAGCTTGCTCTCTCTTGCTGAGGTAAGAAAACCCAGTTCTTTAGTTGCTTTTGCTTTCATAGGTCTAATCCTGTGTCAGCTAAATAATTTGGTTCTTTACAATGTTTGGATGACCATCTGAAAATCTTCTTTTCGTACTCAGTGTATCTATTTTTAAAGCAGTATTTGTCACAGTGGCCTTTTAACCTCAGGTTTCTTTATAAATATTAACTAAGCATTTCAATATCAGAGGAAGAAAACTGGTCTCAAATAAGAGGGTGGTTGATAGCCTTATGTATCCCTGCTACTGTTACGTGCCTAGGTGGGATTTGTTTGAATGTGTTATCAACAACTTTTCTCTTTTATCTTGACCTCGTGAAGGAGTTCTACAAAAAAGAGAACCCTAAAATCATGATGCCTGCAGATCTCCCACAGACATTTGGACATTGTGCAGAGATGCTCAAACAGAATCTATTGTCGTACCAAAGTCAAACAGATGATTACTACAATTTCTGTCTTATAGGTAAATTCATTCAGTTAAGACTTCTAATTTCTTGTGAATGTAATTTTTCAGTTATGTAAACTGAAAATTGAAGTGATCCAGAATTATGTAGCTTTCTTACTTCATCATGCTCAGCGGAAAACCTGTTCATTTTACTGGATATTGGGCCAATATTCTTTTTTATATATTACCAGCTACAAAAAGTGTGGCAGAAGGGCCCCTGAGTAAATTGAAAGACCTGCACAGGGCCATATCTTTTAGCAAGTATATGTTTCTCAAAGTGTTGTACTTAGAAAAAGAAATAGCAGGGACGTAATCTCTGTAGGAAAAAATTCCAGTTGTTTGAGCCTTGCAGTTACATTCAACTCAGCTGAGAGGTTTTTTTTTAATCTTGCAATGAATATTTCTGTGTCACATAAACACTCTGTCTTTTGCAAAAAGAATTTCAGGATCAGTTGCAGATGTTTGAGAAGGGGCTCCCTTATGTCTCCCAGATGGCAATTGATAGTCTTTTAAAAGAACACGAGCAGAAGCTCAGCCATTCCACCGATCAGATCCGACACCTCTTTGATAAACAGCTGGAAGACTGGGAGAATCTCAAGGTCTGTATCGGGGATGTACTGGAATGCTTCCAGTGTAAGCAATGCTAAATGCAATAGAATTATAAAATTGTCTTTTTACTAATCTCACTGTTTGCTTAGTCGCTCACTGCTGAGCTAGCCACAGGTTTACTTTCTGTGTGTGCAGTTAGTCTGTGTCGTTCTCACTGGAAGCTTTGTATTTCTAGAAACCCTTTATAGAAATTTGTATTTCTAGAATTCTGTCACTGCTTCCAGCATTGGGCTGCCTCTTCATAATCTTGTACAGCTCTTCCTGTCATCTTACACTTTGATTGTAAACACTTTTATGGCTGTGACATGGTGGTATGGCTATACAGCTCATACTGTATGAGTGCACTCGTTTGGAGGTACTATGACACATGGATGATGAAATATCATTATTTACTGTCTTTCAGAAGAGGTATATTTTATCCATTAATATCAGAACTAATAATAATAGAATCATAATGGAGATCATGCAGATACTGTTACAGAGTAGTATCTTGAGATTTTGTCCCTCTGAGTATTAAGTTAAAATCAGGAAAAAATACAAAGATACAAAAAGTATCTTGTCTACCACTTGGTAGGAGAGATTATTATTTGTTGAAATCAAAACCCAAGATGAGACAGAGGCCCTGTTCTCCAGCAGATGGGCCAGTTGGTATACACTGCACTGCAAGGTCTATCTCTAGACAGCCACGGAATACACAAAGTTGTCTTTGTCTTTCTGAATGCTTTTATATAAAATGCTTGGTTTGTACTTCTTTCTTACTATGATTTAATTGCACATTCTTACAGAAGGTATTTCTTTGTTATGCATTTATTTACAGGCTGTGCACAAGAATCAATTACGTCCCTCTCTGGGACATCCAGAGAACTCACCTCACCTGGACGCTTTGTGCCAAGCAGAAATAAAAAGGCAAAAAGACCAAGCTGATGGTACTCACCTCAACAGGCAGATGCTGCAGGTAACTGTAAAGCTGTTCCATACTATGAACTTAGATGTTGTATTTGGAAAGGAGAGTAGATCTTGGCTATGTTTTTCCTCCCCATCAAAACTGGAAAATGTTTTCAGTTTTAGGCAATCCTGTTCATGTATCTTTTAAGTCATGTATTATCAGCATTAGACCAATCCATGTGCACATGCCTAGATTTATTCTGGAACTAACTAATCTTTTGTATCTTTCATAGAACATACTGAGGAAGAGATGACATATCTTAATGGTAGGATTATTGGATGTAAGTCTAAATTGGGAGCAACAGTGACATCCTCTGGTTAGATATATTACTTGCAGACAACAGGTGCCTGGAAAGGTTCCTTCTGTGTGGATTTCATTCATGCAAATAATTGACATTTTTCTGCACAGGATTAAAAACTGGAATAAGCAGAATTTTGCAGGAGAGATTCAGGAATCAAAACGCTTTTTCCTCTCCATCCTCTAGGGCTATTGAATGTTAGTTCCCCACCGTTAAAGCTCTTTATTTACTTCTCTCAGGCCACCTAACCAAAATTCTATACTGTCTGCAGAGTATATATATTTCTCATTCTGAAGTAATAGTCCCTTCTCCTCTTATCTCTGCATAGATACACAGAAGCACACATTCCTTGTTTTAAAATAATTCCTGGCCAAAGCTCTTCTAACCAAAGTAACCATATTCCAAAATGGCCTTTGTTTTGGGCAGAAGGATGCATTTACAGGTAGCTGTTTTTATCAGGTTTAGATGCTTAACCCAAATATACAACTACTGGGGAATTATGCACAGAACTCTAAAGCTTTTTGTACTTTACATTAGGTAACCAGGTAGTGTTGAGAATATTCCAGGGAGACACTTTCATGTGCAACTTAGACCTTATGTCTGTTATCTGCAGCTGTTGCAAAATGTCATGGTTGGATACTTGTGCAGTTCTTCTGGAGCTAAACTAAAGGGAGAAGAGATCAAGTTATCACAGGAATTTCTCTCACTTGTCTCCAATGTCCCAACAGGACTGTGCTGCTGAGTGTGCTCAGAACTTTGTTTCTGCACTAGCTGCCTTCACTGAAAAGCTGCTTCTGGAATTAGATGAAAGTGTCTCAGTTAATGATGTACAAGTAGCGAGTAAGTAAAGAAGAGATTGCTTGTTCAGGCCTCCACTTCCTTCTCAAAGATTGCACCAGACTTCCCTTAGGAGGAGGCCACTTCTATGTGCTATAGCACTTTACATTGAAAGATTTGCATAATGAAGCGTGCAAAACTATTTCTTGGAAGTGAAGAGCATCTTGCTGCTTATACTTACTTCAAAGCAATGGTATTACTGCTGTTGTTTGGTTGCTGCTGAGTCTATCTCCTGTTATCTCCCAGAAACTGAAATACCAAAAGAGAAGACATCCACTTCAACCCGTCATAAACAAGCAGGACTTCCTCTGGAAAGCTGTGAAGTTAAACAGTTAATTGACCCTGGGAGCAGGTACTATTTGAAGATACTGAACACTGTTGTATGTAATTTCTCTTCTTTGAACTGGTATCAGACACTGTCCTCATAGTTTCTTGCTGCCTTGTTGAAACTGCTGAATACTATGTTAATCATTAGTGATGTCCTTTAAATAGTTATGGAGCAGTTTGGGTGCGTAATGATCTTAAAGAGAGAGTAGCAACGGATCCAAATAAATAAAAGTGAATTACTTTTATTGTAAAGCAATAGAATTTCAATCCTTTAAATAGTTATGGAGCAGTTTGGGTGGGTAATGATCTTAAAGAGAGGGTAGGAATGGATCCAAATAAATAAAAGTGAATTACATGTTTTATTGTAAAGTAATAGAATTTCAGTATTATTGCTATGCTATTTTGCTAGCCATTACTTATCATTTCAACACTTTCAAATCTATGAATATACTGTTTATTTTCACTCAGAAGATACAAATTCTGTTTACTGTGTGGAGATGTGGAAATTTTAAAAGAAAAGTTGGTTGTACTAAATAAGGTAGTTTTTGGGGTACTTCTTTTATGGAGATTAAAAAAAAAAAAATTTAATCTTTTGCTCTTTAAGCACAAGTAACACGAATTACTATAATCTGCTCTAACTTTCTCATGCGGGTTGTTTGTTGTTTGGTTTTTTAAAGGACTTGGCCCGGAATACCCAGGACTACTCTTACAGACAATTCAGACTATGTTCTTTGCAGAGAAACTGCATCAATTACAACAGCAAAGACTACGCCGGGCCATGTAGCAGCAGTAGAAGCAAGAGATGCTGTATATGAGGTTGGTCTGTGGGCAAGGACTGTCAGTGGGCTGCTACTGTTGTGGATTTGGGTTTTTTAAGAAGAAAAGTATCACTATGTGTAAAGTCTATAATATACAGAGTGCTTTCAGATCTTAAAGCCATATTCACCACGTGTAGAAATCCTCTCTCATGGCTATTTCTGTGCGATGTTATCAAAAGCAGACAGTTGGTTTCTCAGGGAGCCCTCTCATTTGGATTCATTACAACAGGGAATTGTTTCAGCAGAGAAGCAGGATGGTGTCAGAAACAGAACTCTTAATGCATTTCAGCAGCATCACAATACAGAAAATAGCTGCTGCCACAATGCCAATTCAATTCAGCTTGCTTTCACTCACCTTTCTTTCTAAAGCCTACAGCTCTAGCCTTAGATCACAAAAGCTGATTTTTCCATAAAGGTTGAAGAGCTGTAAGATAGTTACATCCTGAACCATCACAGGTCATTGTTTCCACCATAAAAATGATCACTCTTTCTTCACTGAGTCTGCTAGAAGAATGAGCACATTCCAGACAACTCTGAGACGCTGATTTGCACTGATGAAAGCTTGTGAAACAGTAGTGTTCAGCAATTAGGAGAATATTCTTATGGTAAACCATTTGGAAATAAATGGTCAGTGTTTATGCATCTGTCCTGGAAGTAATTGTACTGTCTGCCAGTGAACTGAATCAATTTTTTAAAAATATGTATTTTTAATAGGGAAATATAAAATACACTGTCAAGAATGGCAAATGCCATCAAAACTATAAATGTATTTTTAATAGGGAAATATAAAATACAGTGTCAAGAATGGCAAATGCCACCAAACTATACATTTGCATGAGAGTTTTATGTCTATAGTTATGGTACCGAAGCACCTGGTTACAGTACAGTTCTGAAGTGAACATAGTTTGTCAGCAGGGTGTGATATACCACAGAAATGTTTTCCTGAATGTATGTTGCATAAAAATTACAGTATTTTATATTTTGGAGCATGGACTCTTTAGTAAAGGTACCTTGAGGTTTTCGTAGTAGTCTATAAGTTTCTGTTGGGGTGAAATACCTTTTTAGCAGCTTTGTAATATTTCAGTTCATACTTGTGACCTAGGAGGTTCTGGCAAGAGGCAGAGCACAGTCTATGTTTGAGATGCTTTCCTCTCTCTTCTCTGGAGGAGGCAGCCCTTGAATCTTAGGAGCTAATGGAATTGAGATGAAGATCTTGCATTTTTTGCAAAATTTAAATATTGCTGATAATTTAGTTTCAGAAGACTTTAAAAGGAACACAGTGAATAATTCATTGTTCATATAATTCTGTTGTCAAAGGCAGAAAATAAGTGGCCTGTATGCAATCTTCTGGAACAGTGGGTCAGGACCTTGATTTAGGCAAAGTAAAATTATATTTCATCACTACCAATTTTGCCCTTTGTTGTTGTTGTTTATACAGAAATACAAATGTAAACTTGAGCAGCAGTTTGCCCAGATCAAGGAAGAAAGTACAGCTCAGCTGCGGGCAATTCAGCATTGGGAAGATTGGTGGAAACAATCCATCCAGAAGATTAAGCAACTCTATGCATGAGCTCAGTCACATCTTGCTGATGTCCTTCTGATCATTGTTGGTGTAAACTGGCAAGTTTGTACTAATATCAGTGATTTAGTCCAACAGGATTTTCTGGTTTGGTTTTTTTTTTTTTAATTTCTGCTGCACTGAACAAGTGCAATGGTGAAAGGAGGTATTTTTTTGCCTCTTGAAACAAAAAATCCTGACGAATGTGCTGTAAATGAAATGTAGACTCTGTGCAGCGCTTCCTAGTCAGATCTCAGCCAGAATAAAGTTAACTCATATGGTGCTGGCTGTAAAAGGAGAATCTGAAAAGCTAGAAGCCCACACAGTGAATTTGTACTGAAGTTCATGTTCAAGACCTGGGCATGATTGAATGTGACTGTTTCACAGTCTGAAGTTACAATGGTTAAATGCAGCCTTTTTAATAATGGAGTCCAGCAAGGAAACCTTTTCTTCAACACAGATTAAACCCTTCCCACAGATATCCTATCTTTCTTCACGTTCTGAACAACATACAGCTTGCTACTTCAGTTCTAGAAATCTGAAATACAGGTTTAGCAATCTGAAATAGTTGATCTGCAAAGAATATTTTCCACAGACTGGTCTACAAGTGAGGTATTTATCTGCAGTCCAGAGTGCTTTCCAAGGCAGGGCTTGAAGATAAAGTACTGCTTTGTTCTGGGAGGTCAAGCAAGTTCATTTAGGAGTAACGCAGCTACTTTCAACCATATTGCTTTTAAAAAAACTCTCTGAACAAATTCAAGGAACCTGAGTAACTACTAAAACTGCATTAGCCTTTTTTCCATTTGTTAGGAGATTCTGTCACTAACTGCAACCACATCTATTTCATTCTTGTTTGCATTGATTGTGAACCCCAGAGTTGTAAATCAGTTGAGGACAAATACGGTAAAAGTCAATGAGATGTTTTTAGATGCAAGGAGAGGTTCTGAACTCATCTGGCTCCAGTGTTCTTGCAGATTTGTAACAGAGAAAATTGAGGCAAAGGGGGAATTCATCAGCTGTGCTCCTAATGATGCAATATTTCAAAATATGTGTATTACTTTTCCTGAGGGATTAGATGTTTACTCTGTAAAGACACACGGAAGTACACAGTGCCAATTAAAATAGCTTATAAGAATGCTTATGTCTTCTTTTATTCTGTACTAATTATACTATTCAATGTGAGGATAACTTTTATTCTCCTTTCTTCTGTCTGTTCATTGTCCTGTGTCCTTCCCTATCACCCACATTCTGTGCTGTTGCTCTCAGTACACCATGGCGATAAGTGCATGAGGATGGTCAGGTGCAGGAAATGAGAATCCCCAGGAGACTATCTGCACAGTGGTACTGTCTTATGTTTTCATTTATGCTTTGGGGAAAAATTTTCAGCGGATGTTTATGAAATTGGAAAGTGCTATCAAGCTGGGAGGGGATGCAAGCACGATGGAAAACAGAATGCAGTCAAGGCTTGATGTTCTAGTAAAACAAAAAGCCTGAAAATGGAGTATAATTCCATAAAGTCAAGTCCAAAGTTTTATGTGTCATAGACCTGGCCAGGAGAGGTGCCATAGAAAAGATGGGTGGATTACCTTTGGCCACAAGCTGAATGTCATCACCATGTTGTGTTCTTGCAAAGTAGGCAAGTGTCACATAGGAATGTATGAACTGTCACAGCACTTGAGTTTTGTGGGGTCATCCTGCTTTACTCAATACTGGGGAGGGCTCAGCAGAAGTATTTGGTTTGGTTTTGGCACCACACTTTGTGAGAATGGATTGATGAGAGATCAAACAATTGACACAAATAATCACAGGTTTTCAGGTTAACAATCTATGAAGAGAGATGGAAGGAGTTATGGTGGTTGAGCTTGCAGAATAGAAGAGAGAAGGAAACATCCTAAGACTTCAGATATGTACAGGGCGTAGAGGGGCAAAGGCTGGTTGTGAATCCTTCTACATTTGTGGATCTCCAGCAAGGCAAGAATCCAGAACTGCTCAGCACGAATCCATGAAGCCTTTAAATGGCTGAAGGCCTTGAGATTGTTATTTTTAAGTTTTATTTTGTTTTGTCAGCAAGGCAAGAATCCAGAACTGCTCAGCATGAATCCATGAAGGCTTTAAATGGTAGAAGGCCTTGAGATTGTTATTTTGTTTTGTTTTTAAGTGGGATTTTGTGATGCTTCTTGGTAAAAGGTGATTGGATTGGTTGACAGGGGAGTGAAGAAGAAGCACCAGAGCAGATTTCTACATGGCATAATAAAGAAAATTAAAGTTTTGCTACCTATCTTTTTATAACCAAAGAAATTAAAGTGGGAAAATCACCACTAACACTCCACATCCATTAGCACTGTTGTGTGCCTTACCATGGGCCAGGACAGAAAAGATCTCTGTGATGCTTACTTCAGCCTCCCCTAAAGAAGCACCCTGTGCCAGTTCCTCCCACCCACATCAATGCTCCTGACTGTCTATAAATAGGACTTTGGCAAACAGCCCTGTTGGGTTTTTTTTTTCCCCAGGCTCCAGTCACATGCTAGAAAGTGCTTTCCTCTAACCCGGACCGTATCTCAGTCCCTACAGCCGCAGCCTGGAAATCCTGCCCTGCAGAAGAGCCCTTTCTGTGGACACGGAGGATGCTGCGGAGGCGGAAGTGAGTTTGCACACACAAGAGACTTATCTGCACTACCATAGTTCTGTATTCACTGAAGGTAATAATGACTGTAGCCTGTAACAATTAACGTGCTTGTAACAAGCCCCTTTGGAGGCCACATGCAAAGGCTCTCTCTGTGTGTCACAGGGCCGGTGGTTCACACTGGGGAACCTTTATTTCCCTGTGAAAAGGGATTAATTTGGCCTTCTAAGGTATGACAGCTGAGCCAGGGGAAGTGGATTTTTATGGCTGCTGAAAAGGGAGTAATTTCTTAGACTTATAGAGGAATATCATTGCCCAATATGCATTATTATTGTTGTGTAATGTTTCTTTGCTTGTATTGGACCTCAGTTTACCTTTCCACATGCACCTTTGGAGGGAGCTGCCTCTGGCAGTTAGTTTTGTGAAAGATGGGGTTTATCAGCTAAAGTGGTAACTCTGTTAGCTCTACGTATCACCAGATATGACTTGTCTTGGTGAGGTTATTAAACTGCAAAGGCTGTGTGCTTTAGATGAATAAATGGAATTTACAGAAGCTAGAATGAAATCAGAAAGGGTCCCCCCGCACTTATAACTGTGATTAGATCTCACTGAAACGGAGAGGTTTCTCAGTTTACAGGAACTGCCTCAGTGACTAAGGGGCCTGGCTCTTACACTCTGGTTTCTTTTGTGTTCCTGGTCTCAGAAAGACTGAATGAAAATGAAACTGCTTGGAGAACCTCACGCTCCTATAATAAAATAATCCATTTATTTCATAGTGAGACACTTATAGTAAATTTCCTTTTTTTGTTCTTTGCAGAGTGAAAGCTGCTGGGAGTAAGAAGCTGCCCTTCTTCCTTCTATTCTAGAAGACATGACTTCCAGGAAAGCGTTGGGATCTCTTCTCTGTCTGTCTGCTGTTACTGTGTTTATCTGGTAAGCATTTACTGGCAAGATTGGTCATATTTAAAACATCTTGTCTATATCTACACTGTGGTGAAAAGCATAGTGACAGAAAAATAGAGGCAGTGCATTTTATGGAAAGTCCCTTTCAGAGCTGTAAGAAGGAACAGTAATTTGTACAATAGATGAAGTAACACTAGTAGAGGGAGAAGCCTCCCAAGGGCGAGAGAAAAAAAGACTAGCTGTGTCTAAATTAGGCTGCTAACACTGTATCTGACTCTCAAACAAATGTTCAGGTACAGAATATTCCAGTTACATTTCAGTTCAGGGCTTAAAAGAGATGATTATCTGTCTCTCCAAACAGTCCAAGCTCACTCTAGTGTAATTAGGGATAGCTTTGTGTAGCTATCAAACATTGTTGCTTTCAAACACTGAGAATGTTTGTAGCTTTGAGTATACTGAGTCACTGAATAAGCCTTACAGGTTGTCTTGAGCAAACTCAAACATTGTTTGAAAGGAGTCTGAGATCAGGCATTTCTACTAACTGTTAAATTATTAATCATTCGTTGTTAAATTTATTTTTAATTCTACTGTATTTCTGATGTTGCAGTTTGCTCTTATTTCACATTGTGGCTAGTTGCATTTCACCAGTAGCTAAGTGATTGTATGTAAAAATCTACATAGTGTGATGAAAACTGAAGGGAGAAAAAAGCCTATGCAGCCTGTTTGTCTGCTATGCAAATTCGAGGATGCACACACAGCATTTAAAGTTCCAGGAAGTGTTAGTATGTCACATCAGTGTATATTGTATATTTATTCATTTTGGGCTTTGCCTTATGTGTGCCATTTGTCTACGCTTTTAAAAAATGAGTAGACCTACATTTTGTACAGCACTTGATGCAAATAAAAAATACTTAGACCTGATGTTACAAGCTGGATCCTTCAGGACTCATTTTGTCCTGAGCTTCCCATTTATGCCTTAGCACCAGTATTTTATATTAAAAGGTGAATACACTGGCTCTTACACTAAGTAGCAAAGTAGAGAAACAGCTAGAGTTGCTTCTCCAAATCCGTGCCAGATTGTGAGAAGATCTTGGAAAATCATAGGAAGATATCTTTCAACATTTCCTATCTTAAAATGTTTCTTTACTATCCCAGGATTATAGTTGGGAATGGAAAAGTGCACTACCTCCCATATTACCTTCCTTTCCTGGAAATCTTGTGAGTATCCCATTTTGTGTGTAATTAGTAACACAGGTCATTGTTACAGGAGCTGTATTTCACTGGCAGTATAAGTAGCTATTAACAAGTAGTCACTTGTTCTTTATGCAATGATGAATGTATAATTAGTCACTCTCTTAAAAGGAAATGGTACTAATGCAACCTTTTCTGCTTTAGTCTGCTTGCCCTTCAAGGCAACTCTGTATTTGTACAGCATGAGTGGATCACAGAGACCGTGACTAAAAGGTTAACTGTGGCTTTATTATCAGGCTGTAATCACACACGTGCACGTGTACACACAGGATCTCACTGTGCTTTGACATGTGCATTAACTATCCCAGCTTGCTGGTTGGGGAACTGTCAGAGAGGTGACATGAATGATGATGTAAGGAGTTGTGGCAGAGTTAGAAATAATCCCCTGGTTTCCTAATCATGTTCTTCATCTTCACTCTATGATCTGTGTTTTCCACTTGCCTTATGAATGTATTCGTGTTCTGGCAGCACTTGAGTTGTGAACAAAATGAAAGGGTAGATGCTTCTCCAGAAATCGTACAGTTTAAGGAGTCAGCTTCATTGCATGATGCAAACTAATGTACAGATAACTGACTTAGCATTGGTCCTAAAAGCTACCTCAAAGCTGTGTGAAAGAGAATTTACACTGTGGAGGAACAGGGTATATGGCCTAAGTGACTTCACTGCCCTATCAGGCCATAGCCATGGCTTTTCCCATCCTTTGTCATGACCTACAGATCTTGTAAAAACAAAACAAAAAGATGCAAATAGAAAAGTTGATCTCTCCTAGAAAAATTTCTGACTATTTCAAGCTATTAAAATAATTGTGTCTAGTAAGATGCTTATTTCTCAGAATGCTGTTGAAAGTATGATATATTTTGGGCAGTTCAGCCCTCCAGGGGAACAGGAGCAGTTATGCAGGGAATGGAGCACACATATGACCAGAACTGGCAGTCCCCGACAAGCATGTGCTGCCCTGGATTTCCACCCTTAAACTCTGACTTGACTTCACTAGACTCAGAGAGCTGCCAGCTTCTCTCCATCCCTGTTCTGTTGTGTGCTCTGTTTCAAAACTCTTACTCATCTGACAGCCCTCAAAGGTGCATTCAGGCAATATCTAAATCTCTGGACCAGGCAGAGCTGCGTCCACAGCAACTGGAGGGAGAACTTGGACAGCTGTCAGTACAGCAGCAGGTCCTGAAGCCAAACCAAGTTCTTGTTTTCAGAAAAGTATTACAAACCCTTTCTTTTCTCACCCCATCATGCAGCTCTACGAAACTCCAATATACAGAAGAGAAGCTAATCCAGCTTTTCCCCCAGTAAGTACTGCCTTTTATTTCCTGACCTTTAAACTGCTGTCCCTCTCTTCTGGGCATATTCATGTATTATTCAGTGGATATTTCTTCCTTTTTACAGATTATTTTATCAGCAGCCAAGAGTGCTGGCTCCAAAGTAAGTTTCTTTGAACTTTGTCATTTGTTTATGTCTTTTGATTTGGGTGCTCTGTGGCACTCACAGTTTCAAAGTCCTGGTATGCACTGAACAGTACCTTGTTCCAAGAGAATCCTAACCCCATAGGCATGTCTTCAGCTGTCTATGCTGTTATAAGATTGAGTTTAGTCACTGTGTATTTGTTAACATATCTACTGTAAATTCCCAATTAAAACATTAGCACATAGAGCCCTGTCTACATGGTTTCAGCCAGGGTCTCTTTTGGTGAAGGGAGAGATACAATAGCTGGAAGACAGTGAGAAATACCTTCTGGAACTGTGTTGTAATTGTAACCAGCTGCAGGAGAGTTTTCAATCCATTTCAGGGCAAAATCAAGCAGGTGCCTTGTATGACCTTCAGCAGTGGTTTCAGTTAACCTGCTGGATCTTATGCTGGAACAAATTGCAGGCACTCACACATACAGTCTCTATGAGAGCAGTCAAACCAGTGAGTTTAAACAGACATGGGAAGGTTTTAGGCAGCTCAGAAGTGACTTAGGCCAACACTCCTTGTCAGCTCGAGTTTGTTAGCAGTCTCTGTTGGTCCAGCTCCTATTACCTGACTCTTATCTCTAGCAGTTCACTTCCAACACCCACTATTCTTTTGTGTGTTAATGAATACACCCTGTTAGCACATATCCTTTTTTCCCCCCCTGCTATTTCAACAGGACATACTGAATATTTCTCTCTTCTGTATTGGAATAAATTAATGTGTGAAATCAGCTAGTATATGCTGGATTAAATGAGGAGAGAATCCTGCAGCTTTTAGTGCTCTATGTCTTCCGAAGGGAGTTCACTAGCAGGCACTGAGAAGATGAATACCATGGAAGTGAGTCACTGGGAAAGCCAGTGCAGCCCTTTAAAACAAAATGAAAAAAAGCCCTGCTTAGAGAAACAAACCTGCAGATTTCCCTCTCTCTCTCCCCTTCTCCAAAAATAGATAATAAACCCAGAAAGAGAACAGTTCAGTTAGTATATTTTCTACAAACCAAATTCTTCTTTCTGTATAATCTTTTAATCATATGCATTGCTATAGGAGGGAATGAAATTGTTATTCTCGTATCCGCTCAGACTGAAAGTATTAAATCTGGGTTGAAAGTCTATTGCTGCCTCAGCCATCAAACCCCTTGGTTTGGGTTTTATGCTGTTATTGCCTTGGGAGCGTGTCAGATGGGAGACTGCTGCAGTCTCCAAGTGTGGCCCTGTGCTGTGCATGACAAATTTCATTAGCAGAGTGCTGCAGATCGTGGTCTGGGGCGAATATGAGCGGGCTAGGGTAAATTACACATCATAAATGACATCTTGTTTTAAAATCAAAAGGGTAAGAAAGAAACCCTGAAAAATAAGAAAGTTGAAATAGCATTGCACAGCTGTAATAGGGCATAATCAGACTCTGCTGCATGTATTTTCAGTATTTCCACTACCCACACAGGACATTAAGGATTTCCTATAGCTTTGTTACGCATTTGAATGCTGCCTTACATGCAGAACTTTAAATTACATCCGACTGTGTTAAAGCTAAATATAAATACTGGAAAAATAAACTGTCATGCCACAAGCTGTGTTTTAATAACACAGTAATGGAATGTATTTTTGTAGTCATTTTCATATTACTACTGGTGTTTTAATGTGTATGTAGCAATCTGCATCAGACTGATAGCAAATATGCATAGCTTCTCGTTCTGTGAGTTCAGTGGTCATTAAACTCTCCTCAGCAGAAAAGTCCTATGAGCTTAAATGAGATTTTAGTAAATCTTTGGGTTTTTGCCAATTTGTTAAACAGTGCTTAATTTCCTCCCAGGAACTGAAATGTCCGTGCTTGGTAACCTTAAATAAGAGGGCAGGGAAAAGGCTCTGAAGATAATACCATCCCTAATGAGTTAATGCTCACGCACACACACGCTCTCTCACATTTCATTAACATTCCCTTTCTTTTCCTTCAGGCGTCAGGATGTGCTGACAATCACACCATGGCTGGCCCCCATCGTCTGGGAAGGAACCTTCCATTCCGAGACCCTAGACAGTGCCCACAGGCCACTGAACCCCACCAGAGGGGTGGCAGCCTTTGCCATCGGAAAGTAAGTGAACCACTCAGTGGGCGCAGTGCTTGGGTTGATGGAATTCCTCTGTGGAAAGATGGTTTTGGCTTTTTTTGTCCTCAGCAGAGCTGAAATCTGTCCCAATCTGTAGTAAACTTTTATGCCCACGTGTCATGTCCATAATCCTACAAGATAACAGACTCAGCACCTAAGGTACCTGACACATAGTCAGTATTTTTGGAGAACTAGCATGTCTTGGGAATTAGAGCTGTAGGTAGGTAGTTGGTTGCTCAAAGCAGAGATAATCCACTTGTTCCTTGTCCTCCACTGTACTTTACCTGTTGCATGTGTAATGTGTGCATCCTTGCAGCAATAGCTGGTCAACACTCTTCATCCCTTGTCATCTTCCATTCATTAAAGTACCCTTTGTGATCCACTGTGCATCCCCTCGGCCCTGCCGGGCTGTTCACATGTTGTGTCTGCACAGATACACAAGGTTTGTGGGCCACTTCTTGGAGTGAGCAGATAAACATTTCATGAAAGTCTATCGAGTGAACTGTTACATCTTCACTGACAACCCTGAGACAGTTCCCAATGTCCAGCTGCAACCTGGTGAAGGTTTGTCATTGTCCCCATGAAGAAATAGTCTAGCTGGCAAGAGATCTCCATGCGCAGGATGAAGGCCATGAGCAAGCCCATAGCAGAAACGAGCCATTAGGTGGACTACCTCTTCTGCCTGGGCATTGTCATGGTGTTCCACAATACCTGGGGGCCTGAGACCCTGGGTGATACAGTAGCAGCCATACACCTGGGCTATTTCAATGTCCTTCGAAGCCAGTTCTCTTATGAGAGGAGGAGCTCTTCTGCAATCTACATCCCTGATGGAGAAGGGGACTTCTACTACGGAGGAGCCATGTTTGGAGGCCTGGTCAAGAAAGTGTATGAGTTCACCAAGACTTGCCATATGACCATCCTGACAGACAAAGCCAATGAGATCATGGCAGCCCAGCAGGAAGAAAGCCATATCTCAACAGGCACTTCCTTTCACAAACCCTCCAAGGTCCTTTCTCCAGAGTATTTATGGGATGACAGGAAGACAAAGCCCCCTGAAATTCACCTCATATGTTTTTCCACAGTGGATAAGAACTACAAAGAGATACGAGATTGACCATCTGATCCTTGCAGAGATATTCTCCACACAATCAAACCCATGGATTATTAGCTCCCACAGAGTACGCCTCACCATGAATTTTTGTTCCCAGTGTGAACGAACCGAGAAAGGAACATGTGAATAGTTTCTCTGGAGAACAGGAGTCTCAGTGCATTTCAGAGCAGCAGCCAAAGTGGAGGTGAGAATGAAAAGGTTTCTAGGTCCCTAGTCTTTGTAAATAGAAGCATCCCACTTGAGGCTGCAGCACACAAAAAGGCATCCAAATGGCCAGTTATCAAATGTAAGGCTGTCCTTTTAGTGAGGCTGGAGATGCCTTTGCCTGAGTGCTTTCCTGAGGCGTAGCAGAAACTTAGAAAGATCAAAATGGTATTTGACATTCCTGTGGAGAAGGAGAAGACCTAGAGTTTTAGTAAGGACCTTTTCACTTAAAAAAATGATTTTGCAGGGCAATGAATTTTTATGCATTATGATTTAAACTCACGCCCTTTATCCAGATCAGGAGGAAACTTGTGCTCAGAACAAGTCATCCCTGATTAATGTGCAGCAGGATTTCTTGGACCTTCTCAGCAGAGAGCTGGTACCAGCCATTGCCAGTAAGAACCCTGGCCTGACAGGACAAATAGTGTGAATTCATATAGCAGTTATCTTCCAAATTCCAATCTGTGTTATGGAAACCTGAGTTTAGACAGAACTGGCACAGCTCAGACCCAGACTGAAATTCCTTGGGTTTATTTCAATCACAGATGTGCTCTGAACCTTTTCCCCAGTTCACATGTCTCTGTATATCTTGTAATCTTTTCCAACACAGAAAATCTGGTATTGAGAGGTTCATGTTCCTATCCATTGCTTCAGTCCTTTCCAACTTTTCTAAGCTCTGTGAAATAAATTGGCTAGAAGCTGCTGGAACTGACAGTAAGGGCTGATGCCTTTCCAGCAAACGGGGTGATTTCATTTCATAATGAAATGCTCTAGTGAAACCGTGAGTTCAGTCTAGAGCTGGCAGTAGGCTGGGGTTAACATTTTCTTTGCGTGAATGCGATGAGAAGCTGAACGGGGTGTTTTGCAGCCTTTAAAACCTGACAGCTCACTTGGGTGAACAGGAGAGACGGGGGGGGTCCAAACACAGGGGAACAGCCACGGCTTGCCAACGACGACTGCATAATTGTCAACTGAGGTCACAGCATGGAGGCTCACGTGCCACCTCCCTCGCTGCAGCACGTCTGGCAGAAACATCTCCTCCGTTACCTCCCGAGGCAGGCTACCGAAGGGCTGTGCAGCTCCGTGCCATGCTCTTTTAATGTCAGGAGGGAGAGAGACCACGGGGAGCAGCAGAGAATGGCCATGGTGAGCCACGCTGTACGGCGCCGAGAGGAGAAGCAGGGGTGAAAAGGGCTAAGCTGACTGTTTCTAAGGGAACAGTTTTTTAAAAAGAAAAAAAAGTCTGCAGCTCCGTGCCATGCTCTTTTAATGTCAGGAGGGAGAGAGACCACGGGGAGCAGCAGAGAATGGCCATGGTGAGCCACGCTGTACGGCGCCGAGAGGAGAAGCAGGGGTGAAAAGGGCTAAGCTGACTGTTTCTAAGGGAACAGTTTTTTAAAAAGAAAAAAAAGTCTTATTTGGCAGAGAGAGAGAAAATGGGGAAGAGGTGCCTGACTGTTCTTGCTTCTCTTCACATGAGAAAATTGCTGTATGGCAGTGTATCAAGTATTCAAAGCTTTAGGGCCCCACCACTGATTGCAGATGACTTAACGAGCCATTTTGTGCCTGTGTGAGCTGGCTGAAAATGGCACTTGTCAGTGTCATTGTAGGCATTTCATCTTCCAGAAGACTAATTAGAAAAGCTTTCACGGTACCCATAATATAGATAAGGTACACCTTATTTGGCAGAGAGAGAGAAAATGGGGAAGAGGTGCCTGACTGTTCTTGCTTCTCTTCACATGAGAAAATTGCTGTATGGCAGTGTATCAAGTATTCAAAGCTTTAGGGCCCCACCACTGATTGCAGATGACTTAACGAGCCATTTTGTGCCTGTGTGAGCTGGCTGAAAATGGCACTTGTCAGTGTCATTGTAGGCATTTCATCTTCCAGAAGACTAATTAGAAAAGCTTTCACGGTACCCATAATATAGATAAGGTACACAAAATAGAATTATAGAATGGTTAGAGTTGGAAGGGACTTTAAAGATCATCTAGTTCCACCCCTCTGCCCTGGGCAGGGACACCTCCCACCAGCCCAGGTTGCTCAAAGCCCCGTCCAGCCTGGCCTTGAACCCCTCCAGGGATGGGGCAGCCACAGCTTCTCTGGGCAGCCTGGACCAGGGTCTCACCACCCTCACAGTAAAGAATGTCTTTCTAGTATCTAATCTAAATCTCTCCCTGAAATACCTCCAGCCCAGAACCCCTGGTGGCAGCTGGGTCTGCTTTATCCAGCAGAGGGTTTATCCTGTGATATTTTCTCCAGACTGCTGTTTGTGCTGTGGTGCTGGAAGAAGACACCCCTCTACGTAACTAAACCAGAACTGAATCTCCCATGAAGATGTCTGTATTTGGTAACTAGGCAACTCATTTAAGCCAAAACGGTGAAGGATCTTTATCCAAATATTTCCAAAAAGATACATTCTCACCAAAACCAGGCTTAATACTGTGTATTTCTCATTCGTAAAAGAGTTGTTTCTGAAGGCCATGACTGAAACTGGGGTCTTATTATGCCAGTTGGTATATATATGCATATGGATTCCTTTACAAGCCAGAAGAAGTGTCTAGTCTGATCTCCTGCACAGGACAAGCCAGATAATTTTATCTCCCAATGTCAGTATCAAGCTCACGATATATGGCTGGGCTGTACTAGATCTCTTAGAAAAGCTTTCAGACCAAATAAAAAGATGAAGTGATACAGTAGCCACAAATCCATACACCAGCTGTGCCAATGGCTAATTCCCCTTCTGCCTTAATTCTGCTCTAAATTGGTCTGTGTTTGCAGCCATTGGGCTTTGTTCTGCCCCACTAAATGACTAGAATTCCTGTGCAAATATTCACAGCCTCTACTAAATCTGCCATGAGAGGAAGTTCTCCAGCACAAATGATGTGTGATAGAGGGTGGTCTATGTTTCTGGGGTACCTGTTCTGAAGAACTTTTGTGAAAGGTGTGGTCTCCATCTCTGCTTCCCATCCACATTTGGCTGAATCCGAGACAGTGTGATTGACGCAGTAACAGCCTGATTTGTGCGGTGCCAAACGTGTTTATCCTCCTGGCAGGCCCACAGCTTCTTCCCAAGGAAAAGTCTTGTGTCACATGTTACCTGACACAGTTCAGCTTGACAGGGCTGTGATTTGAGGCAGTACCTAGAAACTCCCCGTGTCTCCAGGGAGCAGAAGAATGTGACTGCAGAAACACACTCCCCGGTGCAGTGTGGGAGATGCTCCCTGAATCAGCTCATGCCCTCCTCTAATTAATGAAAGCCTGGACTTCTGTCATCATCCCCTGCTGATTAATCTCCCAACACCAGCAGCAAGCTTTCCTTCTCTTGTTTGGATTGTGCAGCCTGAGACTTGTGGGCAGTGTGGGGGCTTCACAAGGACCTACTTTCTGATCTGAATTCCCCACCAACATCCACTGCTCAGTGGGGAAACTGAGGCAGGCAGCAGACTGGCACTCTTGCATCTGGGGTCTTCCTTCATTTGTCACAGGAGTCGATGCCATCTCACCTCTCCCTGTGCAAAGGGAATTCAGACTTGGAAACACACAACGCAGTACTGCATGAAAAGTGAATCACCACATGCAAATACATCATCGCCCGATGTACACTGCCTGAGGATCTGCTCATGCTTTCAAGGTATTACTGACCCAAGCCCTGTTGGTCCTTAACCAAGCCTCAGATCAGGAGCTTGTTGCCTTCCCAAGGGCCCCTTGTTCCATCCGCCCCTTTCTGCTCAGGCGGAACAGACTCATCATTCATTGTCCGTCTAATTTAAGAACCCATCTGACAGGCTTTTTCTTTCCTTGTCCCGGCTGGTGACTTGCATGGTGCATCCATCCCCCAAGGGAAAACTTCTCTGAGGGGCAAGAAACAGAAACTGAATGTGATCTTAGGTGGGGACAAACCCTGATCCTCTCGTTTTCCCCACTGATAAGACAAGAATCATTTTCACTAAGCCAGACTTGCATCCTTTTTCACTCATGTTTGGATTTCCCTTAACCCTTCCACAGGTGGTGGTAACCTGACATTATTAATCAGAAATGTAATTTTGAACCACTTTGATGCCCAGCAATAGTTATGGAAGGACTGGCCTAGTCAAACCTCCTCTGGGTGGCTGGAGGGGCATGGAAATGAGACGGTCTGTGAGCAGACACGGATGAGGAAGGATAAGAACATCAGTTGTACGTTCCCTGCACAAAACCAGCTCGGGGAATAGCTGTGTGCACCTGGCTGGCTGAATGCAGCAAAAGCAGCACGGTGCTGGGAAGGAGCTGGAAGGCTGCGAGGTCCCCAACAGAACGGCTGCTTTTACTCTCCCACCCTTCGTCTTACCTGTTTGGTCTGTGGCTTTTCAAGGAAGGGACTGTCTCCTGTTCTCTGCCCGCACAGGGACTAGTCATGGCTGCTCAGTAGTGAATGTGAGATACGCAGGATGAGTTTCTTTCTCAGCAGGGATTTGTTCTAATCTCAAAGGCCAGCTCTAAGCACCAGGGTTACTGTTTTCTCCCCCTGCTGCTCTGTGCCAGCGAGTCCCCGTGGGATCCCCAGGGCTGAAACATACCGAGAGCAGCTCTCCAGATAGAGTGACAATGACAGTGACGGGTGCTTTCAGGGACAGCAGGAACTGGAGAAGGAATTTACAGGAGTGGGTTGTGCTTTACTCACTCTAAATCCCCAACCTTTCAGTTCTGCTCCACACATAGGTCCACACAATCAAATAATTTAGGAAAACATTGCTAGCAAAACGCATCCAAAAAGTGACTTTTAAATGTCTGCCTACCCACCCCATCCCTCCTTTCTCCAAGAGTAACGCTGTACTGACTTGACTTCTCTTGGGCTATATTTAGATTAAACATAGATCCACCAAATGTCGCTGTTTCATGTAAAACTAGTGTAAAGCCATATGAATAGAAAGGCAGTTCTAACCAGAAATCTCTGCTGCTGATGTGCCCACCTCACCCCCCTGCCCCCCCGCTGAACCTTTGGCTAATTGAAAGCAAGTCAGATGAGTACAAATTACTTTTTTAAAGTGCTTCATTCTGGGTTGGGATTTTTTTTTTTTTTCGGTAGTGAGTTTTGCCAGCCAGCAAATTACATAGTTATAGACCTTTTGAAGTATGTATTTCTCCCACTGCTCAGCGCTGACACCGTTACTATAATTAGAATGATGTTGCTCTGTAGCAGCATCTAGTGCCAGAGCCAGAGGCCTGGCAGCACCTTTTCCTTTCCTGGCAACGCTCCCCATCCCGTGCTGCTGGTTCTGCTGGCCCAGAGCCACGGAGGAACGGGATGGCCAGATGTGATGGGGCTGTGCCTTGGTCACTAATTCCCACTGGGACCCTTGGTGGGTTCTTCCCACTGGGTGGGACTGGTGTGGGTGCCGGGTGCGTGTGTCAGTCCCCAGCATTGCAGCGGCCGGGTGGGCTCAGCCAGGGAGGGTGACGCAGACCTCTCAGCTCCTGCTTCTCCTGACATCACTCTGCAAATGGCACATGTCATCGGCCTCATAAATATCAGCCATGGGTTCTGGAGCCGTTCGCATGCAGCCTCTCTGTTTCCAGGGCAACCCCTCTTTCTCAGCCTCCGCTGGCTCACCAGCTCACGCTCCAGCACACCCGACCGTGCGCCCAAATCTCCAGCAGCTTTTTCCCCGCGTTCCCCCCGTTTCGGGTGCTGGGTCTGCACACATCTGGTGGCCCAGTCCCCATGGGGCAGGGTGCCGGGGTCGCCTGGTTGGAGGTGTCTCGCCAGGCAGAGCTCAGCAGCGGGGCACGCAGGGGGATCTCACCCACCAAATGACCCCTTTCCCTGCCCTGAAGCTTTTCTCCTATTTATAGCTCACACGGCTATAAAAACCCCCCCACCCCGCCCCCAACTCAGCGGGGCCCACAAGGTGCTTTCCCGGGGGTCACCCACAGCACCCACCTCCTCCTGGGGAGGGGGGCACCCAACCAGCGGTGGGGTGTGCACATCTGGAGAGCTGCCCGGAGGGGGGGGGTTGCCCAGGGGTGCCGGTGCCGGTGTGCGCACCCGCGGGTACCGCCGGGCTCGC